CACTGCACTCCTGTCTGGGCGACAGAGTGAGACTCCAACTCAAAAAAAAAAAAAAGAAAAGAAAAAGAAAAGAAAACCAAACAATTGACGTGCTGGGGTTCCCTTACTAAAGATAAAGATCCTAATGAGAGCTGAGTAGCATCTTTGTCTTCCTAATTCATTCCCACCCTCCTATCAAAGACAGACCTTTCCTGTCACAAAAATTGCTATGAAGAATATTATTGAGGTCTTTGATAAAATTATAGTCTTTGTAGTAGATAAGAATATTACAGTAATCCCCATTATCATAGGGGATATAGTCCAAGACCCCTGGTGAATGCTTGATACCCACAAACACTATGTGCACTATCCTGTCCTATACATACATGCCTATGATAAAGTTTAATTTTGAATTAAGTCTGCTCTCATACCACCCTGAACATGTTTGCTCTCATTTCAGTTAGACACAATATGAGATTAGCAACTAATAATAAAATAGAACAATTATCAATACGCTGTTCAAAAATTTATAGATAGGAGATTTGTTCTTACCATAGATCTTAGTAGCCTCGGCAAACTTTTTTTTTTTTGAATCAGAGTCTCAATCTGTTGCCCAGGCTAGAGGGCAGTGGCACACTCGTGGCCACCGCAGCCTCGACCTGCCGGGCTCAGGGGATCCTTCCACCTCAGCCTTCCAAGTAGCTGGAAGTATAGGCATGTGCTACCACGCCCAGTTATGCTGGTCTCGAACCTAGGGGCTCAGGCAATCCTCTCATCTTGGCCTCCCAAAATGCTGAGATTAAAGGCATGAGCCACTTTTTAAAATTTCCTTAGTTTCACTTTTTCACTTAAAGGAAGCACTTTACAGCTTCTTTCTGGCATATCTGGATTGCCAGTATTACCACTCTTGCACTTCGGGGCCATTATTAAGGGTCATTATTAAGTAAAATAAGATTTACTTGAACACAGGCACTAAGATACTGCAACAGTGGATCTGATAATGGCTACTAAGTGACTAATGTGTTGGTGGCATCTACAGTGTGGATACACTAGACAAAGGGATGATTCACTTACCAGGCAAGATGGGGCAGGACAGGGAGAAATTTCATCACACTACTCGGAAGAACATGCAATTTAAAATTATGAATTGTTTATTTCTGAAATTTTCCATTTAATATTTTCAGATTACAGCTGACCACAGGTAACTGAAACCAGGGATAAAAGGGGACCACTGTATATTAATCTTTGATATACTGAATTTAGAAATTGTACTCTGATTATTATTATTATTATTATTTTGAGTTGCAGTCTCACTCTGTACCCCAGACTGGAGTGCCATGGCTGCTCCCGGCCACCGCAGTCTCGACTTGCTGGGCTCCAGCAATTCTTCCGCCTCAGCCTTCCAAGTAGCTGGAACTACAGGTGCGAGCTACCATGCCTGGCTCATTTTGATTTATTGTAGAGATGAGGTCTCGCCAAGTTGCCCAGGCGGGTCTCGAACCCGCGGGCTCAGGCAATCCACTCACCTCAGCCTCCCAAAGGCGCGGGATTACAGGTTGAGCCACCGAGCCTGGCTTGTACTCTGATTATTAAAGAAAATATTATTGTTCTTAAGAAATGCATGCTGAAATATTAAGGAGCAAGGGAGCTCAATATATGCAACCTACTCTCAGATGGTTCAGAATATAAATATATGTATGTGTGTAAATGAGTATTTTGTAGAAAGAGAAAGAATATGAGAAAAATAAATGGAGAAACAGTTTTAAATAATGCATCTGGATAAAGAGTATTTAGGAGTTCCTTGTATTATTATTGCAACTTTTTTTGTAATAAAGCAAAAAAGTTTCCCAAAAATGTATTTTTAAAAAGAGATAGAAACTCCTATGTTATTTCCTGAAACATCCAAACACCTCTGTGACTTACCTACACACCTAAGGAGCTTCAGAGATTCTAGTGTCCTCCCGTTCCCCAAGTTCTTCCCTCCCAGGGTTTCCTTCTCTGTGAGGAGTGCCCTGACTGCTGATCTACAGGAAAATAATTTTCTCCTTTGTGGTTCTTGTGCTCTTAAGCACAGCTTTACTGTCTAAACTCACTCCCCCTTTCACTTCCCACACCCGGCACTGAATAAACATACTCAGCCAATTCTCCTTTCTGTTCCCACAAACACTTTGAAGTGAGGCTATTTAGGCACTGAGACAGATCCTAGACAGGAAATGTCTCCAACCTGGGAAACTCAGACAGTTTTGTTTCATCAATCAGTTGTTCCACTCCTGAGTTACACCCACTATCTTGTGGTTTATAACAGCCTGACCTTGTGCATGAATTTCAAATGTTGTCACTTTCTTATATTCTCCACATTTTCTTTTCCATAATTTCCTATATTCTCCACAGGTACTTCCTATAACACTTTCCTGTCATTTCCGGAATGTCAAAATCTTTGACCTTCATTTGGGTCATCTAACATGGTTATTTTGCTTTTTACATTTTACAAATGTATCATGACTTCATGTGAAGATTTAGAGTAGTGGCCCCCAACATTTTTGGCATCAAGGACCAGTTTTATGGAAGAAAATTTTTCCACAAAAAACTGGTGGTGTGGAGGGGAAGCATTAGATTCTCATAAGGAGCTTGCAACCTAGATCCCTTGTATGCGCAGTTTACCATAGGGTTCAAGCTCCTGTGAGAATCTAATGGCGACATTGATGTGATGGAAGACAGAGCCATGGTAACTGTGATTGTGCCCCTGCAGTCCAGCCTGGGCAACATAGTGAGACTCCGTCTCAAAAAAAGTAAAAATCCTTTATAAACATAAACAAGGCCTTTAGGAGAGTATTTTCCTTAGTCATTCAGGCAGGAGTTTTCAAATGGTGGTCTAGGAGTTACTTCAGTGAACTACAAAGTCTTCCAAGACTGACTTTTTGCAGTGTGCTGAATTTGCAATAAAAACAATAACAGCAACTTGGTGGTATTGAGCACTTACTTTGTGCAAGGCACTTATTGCGTTTTATCCTCACAATTTGTTCATGCTATCACTCTTTGTTGTCTATTCTGCACATTTATTCTGGGGAGGTCTATTTGAAACACAAAGAGGAAATGAAGAAATCTTCTATTGAACCCAGTAGCAGTCAGGGTCAGCAGGGATAATAATTAAACTACAGGCACCACCTGCTTCTGTATAACAGGGATGTTTTGGTTACTACTAGAGATCTTTTGAAGTTAACCCTTGATTAAATACAAAGAAATTATCTAACCCTGTGGTCTAAGTATAACCTTTAGACCGGACAGATTTTTTTTCCAGGCTAAGTTTTTCTCAACTTTTAAATCTAAAAAGTAGTAGTACTTCACAGGGCTTTTGTGAATATTATATAAAGCATTGCAGGTAAAAGGCTAAATGTATTTGTTATTGTTGTTGTTACTGTTCTTACATAGCAGTTACCAACACATGCTTGTTTTCTTCTAATCAATACCATTTTCTTGTTTAGAAATAGCACATTACTTACTTCTGGAATCTTCACAAAGAAAAAAACTAGAAATAGCACATACTAAGGACTATAGCTACCAACACTGTTCAGGGTTTCTCCTAGAAGAGTCAAACAACATCCTAAAATTTCACAGAAGGAATTAAGGCTCATATAGACTGTTCCTTCATTTTAAAAATAAAGTAGCTCAGCCGGGTTCGGTGGCTCATCCTGTAATCCCGCGCCTTGGGAGGCTGAGGTGAGTGAATTGCCTGAGGCTGCGGGTTCGAGACCCGCCTGGGCACCTTGGCGAGACCTCATCTCTACAAAAAATCAAAAATTAGCTGGTTGTGGTAGCTCGCGCCTGTAGTTCCAGCTACTCGGAAGGCTGAGGCGGAAGGATTGCCAGAGCCCAGCAGGTTGAGGTTGCG